AGAAGGAGGAGAAGGCACAGCCGGCCGAAGGAGTAAAATGGGGCGTTAAAGTAGAAGAATTGCGACCCTCACCCACTTTTATTGGTGATTTCTTTCGACATTGGATTTCCCCAGGACCAAAGACATGGCCTGAAGCTTCGCTGCTGATGAACACAAACTTCGAAAACTACTTCGCTGCGCAGCAATGGCAAGGGGTGGCAAACTTGAGAGCTGTGCAAGCTGTGCAATGTCTCAGTTTCTGCAAGTGCTGCAAAAAAGGCGAACATCCTGACGGTCACTTGGGGGTACATCAATGTTTTGGTTTTGGAACTCACCAAGCACTCTGATGTTTGGATGTAATCCAACAATGGGGGGATTTACCCCCTACCTATAGAGATTTCAAGAGGAACATCATGGTAGACCATGGGATTTGGGGTTACCATGGGTTACCCTATTCTCAGACAAACCCACACGTCGGCAGGCTTTGCAAGGACACAGCCGAAGTCGTTTGGATGGTGGCCGCAGCCCTTTGCAAAGTGTTTCTACAGACGAAAGACCCACGGTAGCCCGGAATCTCACTGACTTTTTGAAGCCACGGGGCAATCCCAACCAATGCAAAGATCATTTCAACAGTCAAAACAGACTTGCGAAACCAAGGCAAATCAAAGGTGCGATCCACAGCTTGTGGCTCTAATGCGGTTCACTCAAGGCTTGAGGTCAAAGACTTAGTGTCCAGGGCAGAGACTCAGCCGAGTGTCCTGTTGGGTCGCCCCAGCCATGCCGCAAGGTGATTTGCTGGCTGAAGGCTTTAGGGTCTTCGATGGTTTGATGGTTGAGTAGGTATCCAATGGTTCAGTTGAGTTGGGCAGTCACTTGGACAATCACTTGCTCATGGAAGGCACTATGTTACTGCTATCGCACCTCTTCTCGCTTTGTTGGCCAATCTTCTTCTGTGTACTGCAAAGCCATCCAAAGATTTTGAAGATGCCCAGATACATCCAAAGACAAGTATCGGCTTGTCTCAAGTTACACCCACTAGCATATCCTGGCAGTATCCTTTTGGCCCGCATATTCACGTTGTTATCCATCATACGATATCCAGTTCATTGCTGATTCACATCCTCGTGTGGACTACTTATATGGACATGAACATGGGGAGGATGAACCTCAAGCAGAACTCCAAAGCCAAGCCATAATGTGGGAGAAAGACACACTTGATTCACACGGGCTTGTGTGACAATTGAGGTGAAGACCCCATTCCATCCAGTGATACATCATCATCATCATCATCATCATCATCATCATCGTCATCATCATCATTTACTTTACGAACTAAAATAGCTATGAATGGGGCCATAGTCTGGTTGGGATGGGTTTCTAACGCAGATTTTTGGCAAAATTGGGGGCAGTTTCAGTTTATGGCATTGGGTTTACCATGTTATGTATTAATATGTATTGATATGTATTAATACGTATTAATATACCTAATAATATATATTATATATATATATTATTTTCAGACACTGCAACTCCTCACAATCCCAGTAGCAGGCGTGGCACCCATGGCGTCGAGACTCACCCAATCAACACCATTTGCGCGACATGCTTCGGCCACTGCCTTCCAGGATGGGTCAACAAGTCGGGATGTTGCTCATTCTACCACTGAGAGCAGGGATGTTGAATTTATTGGATGTACTCTCTCTCTCTCTCTCTTTCCCTCTCTCTTTCTCTATATGACACACTTATATATATATACACATACACACACACACTATATATATATATTGTACATACATACACATACACAATATATATATATATACACATACACACACACTATATTATATAATATATACACTGTATACATACACATACACACACACACTATATATATACACATACACACACACTATATTATATAGTATATACACTGTATACATACACATACACACACACACTATATATATATATGTATGCACACACTATATATTTTTTACACTATTTATATATATATATTAATACACACACTATTATATATATATATATTAGTACACACTATATATATATATATATATATTCACACACACTCTATAAATAAATAAATAAATATATATATATTCATACACTATATATATATGCACTATATATATATATATACACTCTCTCTTTCTCTATAAATACAAACAGACCACATAAATAAATTAAAGATAAACAGATAAATAATAAACAAATATATATATATATATACACATACACATACACATATGTCTATATATACATGCACATATACACATAGTACTGGTATGATATCACCAAGCGAGATGGGACCTTGATGTGTGTTTCTGGCACTTTTGTAGCTTCGAGAAGTTCCAAATCTTCCAAAGGTCAGGACTTCAAGGTTTTCACTACTTCCAAGAGGAAACCTGGTCAACTTTGAGTGACTTAAGGATCTGGTTGTACCATGGCTTGCATCAACCAGCCACCCAACTGACCACCTGTTTTCCGGTTGTGCCAAAGGATTGCATGCAGCAAGAAAGGCCATGCCCGGAGGCCAATCTTCAGGGTGAGATCATGGGGTAGTTGGAGTGTGTCTTCATTGCTAGTTAGCTGCTAATTGGTGTGGTGAGCTGGTATCCCACTCTTGGTCCACTTGCACTGGGAGCCTTTCGAATTACCGTAACAGGGACCCAAAAACGCTTGTTTTCCTTTATATATATATATATTTATATTTGTTGTGCATAATACATCACATGATCGTGATTTTATTCTCTCTCTATATCTATATTTTCTTGCGTTGGAATGAGTGATTTCATCAACGACGTCTGTAGCGTCTATCACTTTGACCTCTTGTAAAAGCTTGGAAGGTTAATGTATTAATGTATGACCTGATACAGTGTGTCGAAGACAAGATTGCTGACAAACCAAGTGGCAACCAACCCTCCAAGTTGGGCTGCTGAAGTATCAACTTCGAACATGTCGCTAGCAACAAGTGCCTGCAGGGATGTCTCAACTTGGACCCTTGCGCTTTCGACCGCATCGATCGGAGGTGAGTTTCACCCGGGCAGCCTGGATCAACGCGCGGAAGGGGCCCAAGAGCCAAGAGGCCCTGCGGAAACACATTGAGTGCCTTGGACTTGGGGCATTTCAGTGCTGACAGTAGGGGTGAGAAATCGAAAATCCAAAGGAGGACCATCTCATGGATCCCATGTGGCTAAAAAGTGTGGTTGCTCTGTTCTGCAAGGGGACTATCCGATTCAGAACTGGGTGAAGACATGTTATAACAATGCTCAACGGCCACTTATCCCGAGGAATTTCGGCAAAAGCTCGCGCTTCTTGTTGGTCAGAGCCCCCATTGTTATTTGTGAGATACCCATTTTTGCTCACTACATCTAACTAAACTACGTCATTGCCTGTTGGTTCCATCAAGTTTCATTCCACGTGTTGGAATTCCTTCGGTCCCAGGTGCTGCCACGCCATCAAGCGTTCACAGAAGGCGTGGGCCAGGACTGCGGACCTCCTGGATGGCAACTGGTACTTCAAGTGCCCCGGCGCTGAAAATGGGTCGAGTTGGCTTTGAGAAACTTTGGGGTTGGGGGGCCAAAGTGAAAACGGGGTACCCCAAAATTTCCAAATGCATCATTTCCTTCCTTGAATTGCACTTTGAGGGCACAGCCATCAAGACATGTTTGGATCGAGGTATTGTGCCTTCGCACCGCCGCCCTTCGAAGCCTTGGTGCGGCTCCGCAAAGGGGGAATGGTGGGGGTTAGAATCCCATGAGGTTCCAAGATGTATCTAGAACGGTCAGCTGCATGCCAGCGTACAACTTTCAACTACTACTACATTAAATAATATTAAATATATAAACAGCATTCAACGACCACATTTCAAACAGTTAAGTTGGCAGTTGGGGATGGGTCAAAATTCTCAGAGAATAGATGGTGTGGGATTCTCATCTGCCCTTGGGGCTATTGGGTTTAGACCCAGTTCGGGAATTCCCGTTATTTCTGGGGTACTGACATGTCCAAAGGCAGAATGGCTACTGCGACGGTTTCGAGACAAGGCGCTGGGAATCGTACTCGAAAGTAAGTGTCGTTTTTTTAGGGGCACTGGTTGATGTCAAGCCATTGGTACCAGTTGATGATGGCTGATTGCTTTGGGAGAACCCATCCAAGACAAGTTGGGACGTCCTGGAATCCTCCCTGACCTGGCGAAGCTCCAGGATCCACCAGCACAAGCGCAACCCCCAAATGATGCCCAGAGCTTCTTGTAGCTGCCCAGATCTGGTGTTGGGAAGCGAGAATTGGAAAAGAAACAAAAACGGACACAATTAGTAACTAGCTGCCATTTCATTTTTTACAAGTTGAGGTCAGGCAGATTTGGATTCCAAAAAAGACTCTCCAATCTGATCCCATCACCATCATGACCTCAACTCCATGTCCCAGCGGCTCGTAGATGCACCTGCCGGTCTCGTCAAAGCTGCACGATGGCCAAAAAGCTATCGAGGGAGTCGAGGGGGGAAAGATGCCAGGGCACCGGCACCGACTTCGATCATCAACTTGCCAATTGGCTACAGAACTGGGTCCATTTATGGCTACCAGGCACTTGCAAATGGCAGAAGAATAGGATTTTCGCAACAGACATGATCATGATATATCATGATATATCATGATTAATGTGGTGAACCCAATAATAAACCATCCCCAAATTGTCCAGAAACAGGTCGTCTAAATCATCCCCAAATTAATGGTTCATTATATAGTGGATTTACCGCATTACTACTCACTTAATTAGATCTGATTGTGTTCCGAGGCTTTGAGGTGCCATGTAGATTAACCATTTGGCTGAAGATGAACATTGGATGATTGACAATGATTGAATATAATTGGATAGCAAACATGAGCACTAGCCATGTCTGACGCCCGTGTTCTAAAATGCTTGAATGGATGCTCCAATATGATCGCTTCATTGGAACTTGAAAAGGTGCCACAATGATCAACTTGGTTTCATCCTTGCAAAGGAACCTGAGCGTGGGCGTTGTCTTACCTTGCAGTGTTCCACGCTTCTCAGCTCAAACAATCTGATCTTCAGATCTAGCAGCTAGCACTTGCAGCTCTCGACAAAAACGATCGATTGACAATGCTTTGCCTTTGTTTCAAGTCCTCATCAACATGTCCAGTGTGAGCAAGTTTGGGGCATTTTGGAGGCGCCCTCCATTTTCGACGAGAAAATCCCACTGATTTTCGATTGCACAGGTTTCAAGGTGCATGGGCCCCCAAAGTCTCCAAGGTTGGTTTCACAGAAAAGGGCACCCTACCCCTGCACCCAACTTGTCAACATAGCGCGACGGCCCCTGGAGCGTTCTGCACCAATGGACCCCCATCTGGCAGCCTGCGCGGCGCCGGTGGAAAAGGTCATTTTTGTGGACGTGGATGGGGCGCCTTGGAGCAATTTCTAAACTTACCCGGGGAATTTCTTTGTGAATTCAGCAGAAAACACGGGGAAAACGTGACGAACACATCTGAAAACACGGCTTTGATTGGTGTGTGAAGGTGAATTAACAATGAGTAGTTTTTGATTCATTATTTGATGCTGATTCTTAAAAAATCCCCGTGGGTCTGGCCATCCTTGGGCTGTTTTTTTGTTGTGAGGTGCTGAACGTTGGTATCAAAGATGATGACGTGCCTGAACCGCAGGTAGTTTGGGAGGGGTTTTCCTTTGAGTTGTGATGTTTAGGTTGGGGTGAATGACCCCACTTTGGGAACGAGCAGTTGTTGATGCGCTCTTTAATTCCCCTGTGCTTTTTGGATGGAGTAATAACACAATTTAATGGGCAAGGGCTAGTTGATGTGTTTTTTAGATGTTGAACTAGCCGTTCTCCTGCTACAATGGGAACATCAAATGGTGATGTTGGAGGTATAGCCTCTGTTTCAACGCTCCCACTGTCCCACGGGCATTGGAACAAAACCAAGACCTGGCAGGTTGACCTTGGACTAGGGATATATTATTTGGTAGATCTTGATTTTTGCAGGTTGCTTAGCAAAGGGGGCACAATTTATAGGCGTCCCAAGAAAGATGGAGAAACAACATTAAATACCACCTGAGAACATTTTTAAAACAGTTTAGCTGATTTTGGCATATTGGTATTTTTGTGAACCCTTGGGCAAGAAAGACCTCTAGACCCCTTCCCATGGTCCAAGCTGTCGAAAGTTTTTCTGAGGGGTCCTTGCTCCTGAACGATGCCCGTCAGCACACCGGCTTGGGTCAAAATCAAAGATCAATCCAAAGAATTTAGCTTTATGGAATGATTTTGAGGGGCAGATTTTTGAATATCTCTGTTTTAAATTGTTTTAAAGGTATATGTATTATGTGTGTATATATATAATATACTTATACTGTATATGCAGTATTCATAAATATATATAATATATGATATGTTTTCAATTTTCTGTATCAAGGAGCAGGACTTGAAGAAGGTGAAGAAACTTCGGGCAGGTTGGGATCCCCAGCTGTGAGCCGAACAGTTGGACTGGTGAGTTGATCATTGAATCACCAGGATGAAGAGAGGCTGCTCCCTCCCAAGGTCTTGCGAGATTCCCAAAGCACGTCCAGCACGCCATCAAAAGGCCAGCATCGGAGCTAAGGGACATCGGAACCTCCGAAGCTGTTCTTTCGGAACTTCTGGGGCACTGCAAGTTTCTAGGTCCACTCCAACTTCAAGACCCTGGGGACAACATAGAGGTGGTTTTGGTGATTTTCGCGGCAAAGCATCCTATGAATGCATACGCTCATTGGTTGGGTGGCACTGCGTCTCCACAACGTGGGGTCAGTTTCGGCAGCGAAAGGGGGTCGAACTAGAAAGAAGATACAAGCAGGTGGGTTCAAGAGCAAACAGTTGGATGTCAGTATCAACATGGGACTTAAAATCCATAAAAGACCCTGTGATTTCAGCAGCCCCGATCAGGATCCTTTTTGCTGCGGAACGCCACCCGACTGCGGCCTGCAAGGGCCATGCACAACTGGTAGGTGAGTAGTCCGGCGGTGGAATGGGTCAATATTTTCTGGAGATCCATATTTGGTTGGTGGATTGAAATACAATTGCCATCCCCCCTCCAACTGACATAGACCCTGCCATATGGGGATTGGAAGGTTGCTTTGCCCTCAAGATGGCGGCAAATCTCAGGGTCTACGGTAGTGGAGGGATGGTAGATTCCCTGTCATTGCATGTCATGATTCGTGATGATTAACTTCAAAATGGGGGGAGAATTCCAAGGGTGTCCAAAGTATATGCAGGGGAAGGAAGGAACAGTTCTCAAGCCGGATTCCATATGTAGATGGACAGATGCTGTTGCCAAGTGCTATAAGAGCTGCAACACAAGTTCGTTGAGGCAGTAACCAACTCCTGGATTAATGTGAATCCCAAAAGAGTTGTCCATGTCCCAAACCAAGTATTAGAAGGTTTGTGCAACGGATCAAGTGCTTTGAGTCCGGATTTTTGCTATTTTTCAACAACATCCAATAACTTGGATGCCGTCTTTGCCTGCCAGCCACTGTCCAGGACCTTTCCTGGAGCGACTGGCAAAGCTGATCCAGATGGCGAAAGGGAGCCATGTGGTTCTAGCCTCCAAGTGGCAAGAGTGCCTTGACAGATTTGCTCCACAGGCATGGACAGGATTTCTAATGATCGATAATCCCAAGTGGAATTTCTTTGGACATTGACAGACAGCATTGCAAGTCGGCAGCGTGGATGTCGTCAAGTGATGTTAAACGCAGTCATGTCAGACATTTCAAAAGAGACCCCAGTGTTTGGTAGGCATTTGCTTTGGGCTTGGGCCAATCGGTTGTCGGATTGTTTTTTTCTCAGAGTGATTTCCCTTTTTGGAGATTGTTGCGGCACATGAAAAAATGGGCATTAGCAATGGGATTTCAACCTCGGCAATAGCCCCAAACCTTCAAGGCTGACACCCCTGATTGAGCGGGAGACGCCCGAGATTGGGGACCCACAATCCTCCACTGTGGCTAAGGTTTGGTTAATGAGGCTATTGGATGTTATTGCTTTATTTTCTAGTGGGAACCCCTTCCTTTTCGTCATCTATTCATGCACTTTTTCAAGACTCTCAAGTGGAGCAGAGTCAGGCACCCCAGCAAGGTGGCATATTTGGAGGTCCAGCAGGGGGGCTGGCAGCGGACCGCCTCGGTTCTTTATGGCTACACGATTTTGCCTGACAATCAGAATACCTGCGCATGGCACTTTTTGATGGACAAGGAGTAAACACATCATGAGCGGTTTTTGGGTACCCCAATTTCTTTGATGGTTAGTGAATCGCAACTTCAAATCCTTGACATTCATATGGCAGCATGAAATTTTGGGCAGGGCGCGCTGGCGCAAGAGCTGGGGGTGGACTTCCTCTTCCATGGCTCCACGGGAAGGGAAGAGGTGAAGACGCCAGCGAGTCGACTACAGTCCATGGCCAGGTGGGACCAGCTATGAGGATTCAACCACTGAAGGGTGCTCTTAACATGAATAAGGACGCAAACGCACATGGGATTTAGGATGATTTAGGATTTTTGGGTGACTTACATATACATTTGCATACTGAGGATATATGTGTGTTAGGTCGGGAATTTAGAAGTTTGTTTTTGGCGTGTGAGGTTCAAAGCATCATTTTCTTGGATATGGTGTTTGGTTACTGCGAATGTTTTCTGTGAAACTTTGGAGGTTGGAGTGAAGGCGGGGGCTTGGAACCCCGAAATAAGGATTGCAAATCAACAAAAGAGGAAGGATGTTCAAAAGAAAACGCTGAAAATAACCATATATGTTTGTATTAGCAAACATATATTGTATATTTATATAATATATATATATATATGAATTTATAATATATTTGAATCATATGAATTATTGTATTGAATTATGTATATATACACATATATGTATGTATACGTACATATGAATACATACACAGTATATACTCAGCCAAAAAAAGGTTGGTGCTTTCAACTTGCATTTTTTCATGGATGGTGTTTGACTTTTTCCCATGAAGCTTCCTGGAGGTGGATCTTGAATGGTAGGATTCTTCAACATATCCAGCTTAAAAAGACTTCCTTAATTTTCCTTCATAGCTAGCCATGAACTTATCCATACTTATCCTATGGCTCCCATTCCCCATTTTTCTCCAGGTACCTGGAAGAGTTCTGCCGGAGGAGAGACGGCAACGGACCGTTGCTGGGTGGAAGATCTCGAGTGATGGGTCTGTCTAAAGTGGAGACGGCAAACCCATCAATTTGGTATGTGGTAAACCCAATAAGAAACCCGCAATTTCGGATGGTTTATACCACCCATTTCTGGTGATATTGGAGATGGTTTGTTATGGGACTGCATTATCCAGGATTGCTTTTAGTGACGGACTTACCATCACTTGCCCCGAAGTCATGGCCATTAAAACATGCAAAAAAATAAGTTCAACCCATCGGATTTGTGTGTACCCCATCTTCAGACAAACCCATGTGGGCCCATATGGGCCCGAGTCAAAACAGTGGGTCATCTTGAACATTGACCAATGTCAAACCAGTTCTATTTGGGTGCCAGGGTTGTAAACGTTGACCCCATGTGTAATATCCCTACGGTGATCTGGGGTCTGCTGAGGTTGAAAGTCCTGATCTTGGAGGACGTCTTCCGGATTGGATGCTTCAAAAAATGGGGGTTAAAATTTTGCCATTGGTTCTTTTTTTAATCTTGGGGCACTCCAAGATTCCAGGATCTTGGATTTTGCATGGTGTCATCACCCAAAAGCAACCACACCCTGGCAATGGAAATTCCCTGATTTTCAATGGGGACATTGGACGTATCACGGGGAGATCTTTCCTTTGAGCATGACCTCGTGCCGGTCAGCAACAGTACTGAGCCACACCTCCCAAAAGGAGAAGCCGAGTTTGGTGATTGTTACAGCAGACGACCGTGATGTGTTCTTTGAACGTAACTGCAAATGTATATCATCTATATCTAGTAACGCGGTGAACCCCTTAATAAACAACCATTTTTATGGGTGCTCTAAACCATCCCTAAATGGTAGTTGTTTGTGGCATTGGGTTGCCTACATTATGCATCATTATCCCAAATCTGATCTCCAACGATGCTAGCAGGACTTCCACGTTGTGCCTTTGGATGGCTGGCTCTGCGATGGCCAAGCCATCGACAGCTGCGCGGCGGTGGAGCAGTATTTGCGTAGCAAAGTGCCAATGCAGGTGGCCTGGGGGGAGATGGAAGCATGGGCTGGGTCCAAAGTCGAAACAAACTGTCCCGCATAAATCGATACATACGTACATACATACATACACATACATACACATACATACACATACATACACATACATACACATACATACACATACATACACATACATACACATACATACACATACATACACATACATACACATACATACACATACATACACATACATACACATACATACCCATACATACACATACATACACATACATACACATACATACACATACATACACATACATACACATACATACACATACATACACATACATACACAGACATACACATACATACACATACATACACATACATACACATACATACACATACATATACATACACATACATACACATACATACACATACATACACATACATACACATACATACACATACATACACATACATACACATACATACACATATATATACGCATAATATATACATATATATATAAACATACATACATACAGACACATACATACACATACATACACATACATGCACATACAGACACATACATACACATACATACACATACATACACATACATGCACATACATACACATACATACACATACATACACATACATACACATACATACACATACATACACATACATACACATACATACACATACATACACATACATACACATATACATACACATACACATACACATACACATACACATACATACACATACATACACATACATACACATACATACACATACATATACATACATACATACATACATACATACATACATACATACATACATACATACATACATACATACATGCGTACATGCATACATACATACATACATACATACATAAATACATACATACACATATACATAGACATATACATATACAGATACATTTACATACACATACATACATACATACATACATACATACATACATACATATATATATATATACGCATAATAATATATATATATGTATTATGTATCTTGCACATATTTTTTATTTGAAGTTCAGAACTATGAATCTGGATTTTCCATCGCCAACGGAAATCCACAAAGATATTCTTGCCCTGGTGTTGGCCACCATTTGGTAATACGGGTAGCATCAGTGAATCAGTAAACGCTGAATTGGAAAACGTCTTAACCTGGCGACTACTCGCATCATTTTGAGGGTTTGCGTTGCAGGTATGGGTTTCCGAACTTTTTTTTTTCTGGAAATGCATAAATGGCCATGCAACAAATGAGCATCGGGATATGTAAAATCTGATATACCACACAAAGACATGGAAGCATACTTTGTCAAATTGCAGCTGACACGGGAATCATGCACCGATAGGGATCAAACTAGCAGAAGGGAACCGCAACCAACCAAAATGGGACTGCAGGGTGCCAAATTTGAAGCTTTAGGCGGCAGCATGATGACAGCATGCGTATTTTGCCAAGTATGTATCAGAAGCCAAAGGTGGGCATAAACCCACGAGACGAGAGATGCAACATCTAACTCTAGAACTGTGACCAAACACCTAGCATAGGCAGGCGATTGGGGTCACAACTTCCTGGTGAGCAAACATGGCGACTCCCATTCCCCATTGCGCAAACGATGATTTTCACATTGCGCCCAAAGTAGTCAATTGGGATTTCCTGTTGGCAATTTTCTAGGTATGTGAAAAAAACTTAGTCGGATTGTCAGATTGTGCCTAGAATTTGCGTAAATGTTGTGTGCAGGATGTGAGGGTGAAGCTGATTCACACATATGAGAGTTGGACAGAGGAAGGCCTGGTCATTGATTAAGTGGGACAGAGCCCTTCACAGCTGGGTCATGTTTGGTGAATGGTAGGTACATGAGTTGAAGTTCATCCATTTTGATGCAGAATACGGTGACACATCCTATTTGAATTTACAGTGCATAATGAGGGGTATCCAAGATTTGCCACCACCTACTCCGGCAGGATCTAAAATCTAAGAATCAGCGACTAGAGGGAACTGAGTAGCGATTGTCACTCTTGCCTTGTTTCCGCAAGTTGCAACACGGATTTAGCTGCGCCCAGGTTTCCAGCGCAGGGGGGGTGGGGTATGTTGGGGGTACATTAGGGGGCTGAAGCCATCATGGTTCGGTTTGAGTTATTCGTAGAAAGGCCTGAGCACAAGCCCATCACCCCACATCCTTGTTTTCGTTCCCTGCAGCATCCGCCTATTCGGAGGCGTGGAAATTCAACTTGGCTGCGGCATTTCAGAGGCAGCCAGTGGCTTTTCAGGGTGATGTGCCACATTCCGAATGTTCTTCATTGAAGCAAAGTTAGTCTGGATCACAACTATATCACCATGACATCACTAGATTGTTGAAGCATTGTAGTTCACCAAGAATCATTCACCTGTCGGGTTTAGTGTGACGCGGACTCATCATGTGAGTTCGGTCGGGCAACTCACGGTAGGATACCCCCACAGTTGCCTACAGATGGTGCGCTTTCAATAAATTGCATATTTTTGCGAGAATGAACCAAACCGTTTCCAGCTGTCTTGCCCAACCCTGCGCTATTTTTAGTTCTAAATTCCAGCTTGGCCCAAATCCCATCCACAAATAACAGCAGCACTGGTGCGGATAGCCATGCTTTCATGCTGCATTTTCCGTGATTTGCTAATGATAATGATACAAGTCTTTTTGGGAGCGAAAGGTCAACAACACGGGCACAAGATTTCAAGACCTCTCCTAGCCACGTACTTGGACGATAAACATGAACTTGACAATTGGTTTAACGCGGGATACGTCCCATTCGCAATGGTGGTGTGTGGAACTTACTATGGCGTATCTATTCTCCACAGTTTGGCTCACTGTCTCTGCGTCATCCGAGATAGTTAGTGAAGTGGACGAAACTCCTGCTGGTTGACTGCTACAATTGATTTTCCAGTCAAAACAGGTATGGACCCCGGACCCATCCCCGTGTAATCCCGGTTGCGCAGGAGCACTTCAGAGAAGCCTCGAAGTTTCTGGCCCCTTGTGAGTTGCCCTCTCAGCTGGAGGGCTAGCCGGTCATCCAACATGGCAATGAACTGTCCTCATTTGGGACCAGCCAGGTTGGATTACCGGAGGGTGAATCAGATATTGGCAAGTTTGGAGGTCCCGAAAAGCCCTGAAAATAGACGTGGGCAGAGTTGAACCAAAGGGATCTTTGAACCAAAGCTTGATCAGCGCGTTGAGTCATCGCGTGGGCAGAGCGCGAGTTCAAAAGTCCCTAAGGATGGTTCAGTATGCAACTGGACCAGCCATCTAAGGGTGAATCCAAAAGCTATCCCCCATACACCCCATACCCAGGCGGGTTGGCTGCCCCCTGCATTTGGACCTTGGATTGAGGATTTTCTGTTCCGTTGGGTTTTCTTTTGGTTTCTGGGGGTTTATGATGTTCAAAACATTCAACATCTATGGTCTATGGAGGTATTGCCGTGACTTCCACGGGGTGGTTCTTCCTCAGGCCGGCCGAGACGTCAAGGAAGCGGAAGCACGATGAGGCCTGGTATTCAGGGGCTACGATGGACATCAATTCTTGGGCAGCAACACATGGAAGTCGGAAAATAACGAACCAAGTTTGACAACAACTGGCCCACTTGGAGCAAGTCGAACTCTCTGAGTGCGGTGCAAATCTCCTTTCTCTTGTCATTGCGACTTAAAGGGAACATTTGAGATTGCCGAACCTTTTTTTTACAATCTCCGAGTCCAGCAGTTCTTCCTATCTTGCAGGCCGCCAACTTGGAGAACATACCTGTGCTTGGACCCAACAATCGTTGATGGATTTTCCCAACTTTGATGGCAACATCTGTAGCTTTGACCCCGGATTACAGCATGTTAAGCATATTGCAGCTGGGTTTTGGTAGTTTCTCCCCTTTCTTCGTTTGGCCAGGTTTGATCAACCTCACGCCCCAGTTGCTGCGTGTCCGTGGAGACCGGGAAACCAATGAGAACCAACGAAGGCATGGGGCAGTGCGAAGACCCCAAAGAGCAAAAGTAGACGTGGAGTACCACTGGAACCAAATATATAATTGGAATGAACGATCTTGGTATGGTTTATATATTTTTAGTCAGTCCTGGGCCATCCTGGCTGGCTGAAGGCAAAGGACTGTGGACCATAGCTCTGACTCTGGTTGAAGGGCTGATCCACCACGCCTGTGTTCTTCGAAACGTGGCTTTAGACATCCCACATTTGGTTGCAGTATGTCCATAGCAGACACCCCGAATCCACCGCAATTTTGCTGGCTCCATGTCCCATTGGAAACTTGGCAGGCCCAGCTGGCTGCGGTCTGTGGAGTTGGTCACCCGATAGAGCTCATTTGAAGTCAACTTCCACAGAAGGTGCTGGTGCCACAATGGGCTCAGCCAGATATACGTCAACTGGGATTGGAGATTTGCCTACGCAAGTTGGTTGAGATTACAACTCCCACCCGTGGCAGTTTTTCCATTGCGATAAGAAGTGAGAAATCCTTTCAAACGTGCCATCCATAGCTGAAAAAATGCTAAGACAATGGGTCCCTTGGGGCCTCAAATTCTTCCATGTTGAACTTCATGGTGGTATTCGAACCCCCTGGGGACTAATCTCCACGGACCGGGCGTCGCTGGTGCGGCCGCTGTACTCTGCGCGCGCGGCTGGTGCTGGCACTTGCGGGTCAGCTTGGAGGCGTGGCTTCAGCAGAGTGAGTCAAGGATGAGTTGCAAGATGTTGTAATATGTTGTAATCTGGTTTTTTAAAACGGAGGATCCCAAAGCCATGGGATTTAAATGGTTTTTAATTCTTAAACCGTCTAATTTGGATGATTAGGAAACCTCCAATCTGGTTGTCATTTTGGAACATCAAATCAAAACCCCATGTTAGATCTCCTGGATGACGAATGTGAGCATGTTGCTGGGAAGGGTTGAAACCATGAGGGTCTTGGGCGTTCTTGAAGATTTGTTAATTGCGGTCTTCAAGAGCTTAGAAAGACACGATGGTAGGAAAGGCAGCAGTGATATATCTGGAGTATAATGAAGGAAATCTCAGCACCTGTACCGTGACTTGCTCATTGGGATGGATGTAGATTTCCGTTCCTGTGCCGAAAGATGTCCAACGAACCTGGCCATGGGTTTAGGCTTAGGTTCTGAATTGACTTTCATCTAAATGCGCCCGAAGGATGTGCTACGGTTAGATGATGGTGGATTGATGAGAAATGCTCCAACAGATTACACTGGGTCAACTTAAAATGAACTGGTGGTGGTAAACGAAGAAAAACTATCTCAAACAGTTGCGCGCAAAAATCCGCCCGCACCGAAGGTGCCGAGGCCTTTTTTGTGTGCCTGCGTGAACCGTTAGCGATTTCATTATAGCTAATAAGCTGTAGCTTGGGGGGGGGCATTTTTGCTCTAGAATCCTGTGTTTTTGCATGTTTTTCAAAAGGGGTCAAAATTCTTGATCTGGGCCAATATAGGCCAAAAATGGGTCAAGATAGGCCCAACATAGGCCCAACATGAGCCTAAGATAGGCTCACATGGGGCCAACATCCAACATACCCTCATATGGGGCCAAGATAGCCTCATACGGAGCTAAAAAGTGCCCAATAAGTGCTAAAAAAACGTTCAATATGGCCAAACATCCTCCAACATATGTGAGTGTTATTGACTGTAGCATGAACTCCTTAGACTTCCCGAATCCATTACACTTGGTGCGGGCGGTTTTCGTCGCGAAGCGACGGTGAACAAACATGAACTTTCAGGACCTCTGTTGTGGGGGCGCCTGCAAGGGTCTATGTCAAAAAGGGTTCATTTTACAGAAGGGACAGGGGTCTCAAAGGGGTCTCAAAGGGGTCTCAAGGTATCATAGGGTCAACAAATGGAAAGGGGGAGCCGCTGGATCTGCGTGTCGGGCAGGTGCTGCGAGGATGGTGCCGAATTGTAAGTGAGGGGCAGAAACAGAAGACCCTGTTATGGAGGCAGTCCGGGGGTTCCATATTTGTGTGATCATCTCATTTTTTTGGGTAATGTTTCGTTTTTTTCAGCTGCAAATTGTGTTTCCTTCTGGGCCAAGGCAAGTATCCATACTTTGTCGCTTCCATGTGAAATATGCACTTTGGTGCTAGCACGTTCTAGCCGCCACAGGTCCCAGAGATTCACGGATGGCAGGGCGCTTGGGTCTCTTGGCGAAACCGGAAGCTGTTGACTCGGGCGCGCCGGAAGGGTCGGGGGAGGTATGATGGGTTGATCAAATGCACTACTTGCAGAAGCTGGAGAAACATAGTGAAACTAAAATTATTGCCTTCTTCCCTTACTTAGATAGATATGGACACACCATGAAACGGCCAGCTGTGGGGATCGGCAATCTCTAGAAATTGCCAAATGCACGGTGTTTAGAGTGCCTGGCCTTGGGGTCGCGACATTTCAACCAATGGCTCACATTTTCATGACATTCGATAGCGCCTGCTGCCGACGGTTTGTTTCTATGGGAAGCCTTTCTATGACCTGTCGGATGTACCTCTTGGATCCTCTTGGTAAAGCTACAATCTGGGAACCCTCTGGGAACACTGCAAATGACATGGAAAATGGCAACATTCCGCTCCAAGATGCTTGGTGTTGGAGTTGGATTGGCGGAAGGGTCAACACATAGGCAGCAGTTCTTGTCCAAAACGTGCCATCTAGTCACACCCAGTGCAGTAGACCGCTCCTAAACAGACAACTTTCTGTTCACATATGTCGCGGTAAAAGTCAACAATGATGGAAGATTCTAGTTCAAAGTATGGAGTGATAGCTATTGTTGCAATGTTTATTGCAGTATTGCCGGTGATTTTTGAGGGCTAGATTTGTAGGAGATCAGCTGTGCCGGAACCTTTATTAAAAATCCAAAAGTTGCCAGATGCCACCATACCTTGGAGTATCCAAGCACTCACTGTCTTCACGTCATGATTAAGAACCAATTGTTGCATCGATATCAATAATGGCCTTCAACCTGCAGCGTTGTGAATAGGGGGACCTGCGAAGAATCTTTATCGACTCCAACCACCTCAAGGGCAGGAATACCTCATGGGACAAAGAAGCATGAGATCTATGTGAATAAGATCTCGCTTCCTTGCAGTCAGGAGGTTGGGACAAAGGTGGTTTTGGTTTTTGCGAAGTTTTTTGGTCTTAGTACAGGTAATCTAAGACAATGGACAACACGCGTCTATCGATGAGCTTCTCATTAGAGCCCGAATGTATAGGATATTGATGGATATCTCCCATTGCCATGCTCAATATATTGCAGGGTACTTCCCAAGAGGGTTGCTGTGTTTCTCAGTGGGCTAAGGGGCCAGCATGCCGCGATGGTTGATTTTTACCATGGTCATACAATCTCTAGATCCCATGGTCGGAGAAAACATACGGGCAAGCAAGTTCCGGGCAGCTATGAAGGCCAGGTCGGCGGGTGGGCAATGCATCAATAGGCAACCCCAAAAAGCAGGAGGTGTCGACCCGCCCAAAATGTCTGCCGCAGGCGCTCAAAATGGGATCTTGTACACCAAAAGCGGCATCTAGGAATGAGTCTACAATTTGGCAACTTCTTTGAGATGGAGCTAGATCTGAGAGATATGATGACAGTCATGTGGTTTTCTGCGCAACATCCACTGCCAAGTGAGCTACCTGAATGTTTATGACGTCAATGGAAGGTTTGATTCAAATGCTTTGAGGTGACGTGAAGTGGGCCAAGACATCTAGCGCAGTTTCCGACGGGCATAGTGATGATTAGCAAGTGATCTATAGTGCCGCTGTATATGGATTCAAGTGACCCGAAGTGCCTCGAAGACGGAGGGGTCGGTTTTCGGTGGCTATTGGGCGTGTCTCCAACAAGCCGTCCAAGAAAATATCTTCATGGAAAAGCAGGGCTTCAGAGAACTAGGGATCCCCAATTCCTCCACTTAGAAAGGCCAAGGGATCCAGTCGAGACAAGCGTACCCCTCGGCTCCACTAAGGATGCTTGAGACTTGGGATGTTGATCCCATCGGGCCTCAGAATCCATGGCTAAGGGTGCTGGATTTCTTCCATTTTTTTACCATCCAACTTAGGGAGATGGCGGAAATCCAGCTAGCTTAGCCATGGCAGCAGGGGAGGTTGGATGCTCCAGGTAACAATTGAAGGGACAGGCTATTGAGGGTTTGGCGATTTGGATTGGTGAGAAAGTGCTGATTCCCTTTGTTGAGTGAATCTTCGTGACGTTTCAATCACTTGCTTTTCATGTTTCCAAATTGTAGCACTGCCCAATGACCCAGGACTAGTGGATGATCTGAGGGGGACTGTGGTTGAAGCTATGCCATCAAGATCCATCAAGTACATAGGCAAGTGGAGCTCCCTACTCTTTCTTTGAATCCAGCCCACCTCAGAGTTTGTGGACTTTGCCAAAAATATCAGCACCCAGCGCAGATGGGTGGAACATTTTTTTTCTAAATGTGCTACGAGCGGATCTTCATTGTCATGCTTTACAGCGTGGTCTGTGGAGGTTGTGCAACATAAAAAAAGCCTGCGAGGCCATTCCTACAAATGCCCAACCAATTTACAGCCTATAATGCTCAAGATTGAATCTCAGAAGTTGGACTTCATGCTGCGCTTGGCTAATAATGCGGTAGTTTCACATCGGGCGATGTTGAAGCAATAGAAAGCAATGGAATATGTATTTCAGGCCTCGTTCTTGGAAGAATTCGTTGTTTTAGATCGGGTGGAGGGAGACTTTTCCGGTTTCTGAGACACTCTGTGCAAAAAAGGTGCTGCAAATAGACCGCATAGATTGCCAAAAGCAGCACGATGGAAAATAACTTTTCCGCTTCTGGTTTGGAGATAAATATATTATGCATTTATATGATATGGATTTGACACAGATATCCCATGGTCCATTTTGCATATACATCGTTTTGGAATCAATCACCCTGACCGGTAAAATTTATTTTGGAGTCCCGCAGTGAAAGGCTCATGATAACAAATAGGTTATACAAAATTACTTGGTTCTTTGATGGGGATTACAACACTTTGTCCTGCTAAAGCTTGACATTTGAAGTATTGAGGGTACTAGCACCTTTAGAAATTAAGAGATGAGGTTTGGCTTGTTTCGAACTCAAACCCCCAAGTAGAGCCATTACGAAACATTTCTTCACGATACGATAATCCTTCCGCCAAGGCCAGGAAGCCCGCTGCTGCGTTACTAAGTACTGGGACCTTTTGCAAAATTATTTTTTGAATTATATATTGGATTCGGAGCGAATAATTTCTAATCGAATAATTCGAATATTTATTTTTAAATTAATATATTAAATTATTATATAAATTAAATTAATATATTAAATTTACTATTTTATTGTATAAATAAAACCATAATATATGTTTATATTTTTTAATAATATAAATATTTTTTTATATTTTATTTTATTATTATAAAATATTTATAATTCCTATTATTTTGGAAATAAATATTAGGATTTTAAAATAAAAATAAATTTTAAAATTATTATTTTTTAAGTTATTATTATTAATTTTTAGAAATATAAAATTATTTTTTTAATATTTTAATTTATTATAATTTATTATATTAATTTATTTTAAATACATAAATATAAAATATATAAATATATATGTTTAAAATATTATATTATTTAATATAATTAAAATTTTAATTATTGGGTAAAAAAATATATATATTTTAGGAAAAAAATAAAAATATTAATATATTTTTAATATTTTATAAATATTTTTAATATATTTAA